GAATAACTCAGTAGTCAGCCACAAACCTTTAATCTATACCCAATGTGTGTGTATAGGTATTTTGTAGAATAATTTAATAACAAAAATAAGTTTGTGAATACTGAGATTATGAGGTTTATTAATGTTTGCCTTAAAATATGCAATTTATACAGTTAATTTTAATATCGCCTGCTTATTTTAAAAAAAATAAATGTTAGCACACGTGGTGGGGGGGCTCATATTTGATTTTCGCCTAAGGCCTCAAAAAGTCGAGAGCCGCCTCTGGCTGTATATATCTGACAGAGGGGATCTCTGTAACACTATCTTTTCTTCTTCATTCACTGGAAATTGATTAATACAGTGCTTTACTGAATATTTTGTTATGTGAGTTATTCTTATTGTAATTTATCATGAGCTAGATCTATCTGTGCTCTATCTGTGATCTTCTAGGGGCCTGTCCACATTGTACCAACCCATTAACCTGGTCCCATTATAGATGGATGTCCTTTCGACTTGGTCTCTGCCTGAAGTTATCTCCATATATAATTGAGGCTGGCCACCTCACTGCTTGGTCTCTCTTCAACACTATTCTTGTGTTTGTTTGGTGCTACACAAGGCTCTTCTAAGCCTGGTCTTCTCTCAGTTTATAATCTCCTCTGTACGGCTCTTGACAATATGGTCTCCCCTCAACTTGAGTAATCTCCCTTTAAACCAATCATATCTTTTCCTGTTTTCACCTCTCTCTAAACTTTCCTGGGCCAGATATTTCTTCATCAATCCATCCTTCATCTTGAGTGTACATTGGTCCAATCACTCTCTACCTATACTAATATCTACCTTTTTTTCCTCTCCTTAATCTGATCTTCCTTGTGCCTGGTCTCTCCAAGCCAAAGGCGTCCCAGACATGTCTTCTGCTTTTGGTATCTCTTTCTTATTGATTTTCCACTTCAATCATCCTTAACTTGGTGTCCCCGCTGTATGTTCTTGTCATGTTTACCTGTTCCGGAGTTCCCTGATCGAGCGCCGGGTATAAAGTCGCACCATTTGACATCATAATGGCGCGACTCAAAGTGCTGT